CTTAGGGAAGATTGCCCTTTAATGACCAAACTATTGCAGCTGTTATTTTTGACTGATAATTTAATTTGTCCCATCAGTCTGGTTCAGGAAAATAAATAGACTGTCACATTACAGAAGAAATCAGGATGGGATAACAAAATTCAGTAGTGTGTGTGTGTGTGTGTGTGTGTGTGTGTGTGTGCGCAATGTATGTACAAACTCATGTGTGTGCACATGTACAGAGGTAGACATCAGTCATTCTCTACCTTAAATTTTAGAAAAAGTTTTGCTAATTTTTATTTTCCGTGCATGAGCGTTTTGCCTGCATGTCTGTGCAGCATTATACATGCAGTGCCTGCAGAGGCCAGAAGAGGGCGTTGGGATCCTCTGGAACTGGAGTTCAGAGCGTTAAGGGCTACCACACGGGTTCTGGGAATGGAGCCCAGGCTCTCTGCAAGAACAGTCAGTGCCATTAACCACTGCGCCATTCTCCAGCCCATCTGCCTTAAGTTTTAAAACACAGTCTCCTACTGCACCTGGAGGATCTGTCTATCTCTGCCTCCCCAAGCTGGATTTATAGACCTGTGTGACCAGGTCTGCATTAAGATGTTTTCTCTTGTGTGGGTTCTGGGCATCTGGATTCAGGTCTTCACGGGCTGTAGCAAACACTTTACCAGCTGAACCATCCGCCCGGCCCAAGACGGCATCCCTTTATGTTTATATGTATAACCCTTTCCCATGTGTCAAATATTTGTGACTGGCAGAAACACAACGGGGACTTGTGGGAAATCAGGATTCCATCGCTCTTGCGGACACAATAACATTTTATTTTTTTATTTTTACAATGAGAAAAGGAAATGAGCCATTGTGGCTCAAATAGGAGCCATTGCGTGGTACTGTGTATCTGCTTTTTATTCAGAAGACATGAGTATTGTTTACTGTACTTTCGACATCATTTAGTTATACAATGAGATACTTAAAGACTCTCTCTAGTGGGAATTTTTTAATATTACAGGTTTCCTCTGTGTGTGTATATATGTGTACGTGTGTGTGCTCATGTACTTGTGGGTGTGCATGTGTATATGAAGGCCAGAGGTCAACCTTGTGTGTTGTCCTAGTTTTGTTTTGATTTCGGTGATAAACACCATTAGCAACTGGAAAGGAAGGCTTTATGTCATCTCAGAAATCCGCATCACACTCCATCACTGAGGGGGCCAGGGCGGGAGAATTCAAGAAGGAGCCCTCGGGGGCAGGACCTGAAGTAAAGACCGTGAAGGAACAAATGCTGCTTTCTGGTTTGCTCCTCATGGCTTGCTCAACTGTTTGTAAATCCCAGGACCACCTGCCCTGGTGTGCCATCACTCACGATGGGCGGGGTCTGTCCTCATCAATCATTGGGAAAACGCCCCACAAACCAAGAGCATGCAGCAGAATCACATCAAGCCAGAACACACTTAGTAAAGTGTGTTTTTACACTTTTAGTAAAAACAAACGATGTTGAAAACACTTACATCTCTACTGTGTGTCTCTCTCTGTGTGTAAGAGAGAGACAGAGAGAGAGAGTGTGAGAGAGCTAAGAAAATGCAAAAAAGGTAGGAGCAGGAGCTTGGTATGTGGACCTGTGTTGCAGTCCGTTCTTGTTAAGAGCTAATGAGCAGAGAGGGACATGCTCACGAAATGGAGACTTTGGTTAATTAATATAAGTGAGAAGGTTCTGGTTTGTAGGTCAATAGGATGAGGTGGAATTCTTTAACAAGTCCCAGGGAGCCCTGGTGTGACTCTGGGAGCTCCATCAAAGCTTTTAGCCCGGCTTTCGTCCGTAGGATGTGGATGGTGTCATGATCTGTTCTCTCTAGGCTTTATCTTAAAAGAGACAGAAAAAAAAAATCTTTCTCTTTGATAAAAGATTTTATTCTAGGGGCCGGAAAGACGACTCAGCAGTTAAGAGCACGGGCCGCTCTTCCAGATGACCCAGGTTTGGTTTCCAGCACCCACATTGTCGGAAAATGGCCAAAAGAATGACTCATGGTGAACGAGGCCTCGGGGAACTGTGAAAGAAGCTCAGGAAAAAAGGCAGAGGGCCTTTTACCTCAGGTACATTTTGTTCCCTGGATTGCTCTTGGAAGTGATTTCAGGGCCCCTGCGACAAACATTTATATTCGGTTTATAAGACATGTTTATTCTTGTTGCATTCAGATCACAGCTATAGAACCGAAACTGGTCAGTGTATCCTGAATCTGGATATGGCCTTCTGCCTTGCTTTCCCAGATATAATCTATAGCACATACCAGACAGCTGTCTTTTAATTGGTCTATTCTGAGGAAGTTCTGGGAATGGGCTGCTCTGTTAACACTGAGTCTGTGCTTACTGATCTTTATCTACAAGCTTCTCTCTGAGCGCAAACAAACTTCCTTGGGTCATTGATTTATTTGTTATGGTCACGTACGAGAGTGCGCCGAAACTGAAGCAAGGCTGTCTACCACATTAGACTGCAGTCCACCGAGTTCTTTCAGGTTCTCCGACCCCAGGCCTCACAGACAGGTCTGCGTAGGTCAGCGGAAGCGGGCAAGCATGATGGCTTAGCACCTTCTTTCTATACCTCCAGTCCCAGGGGATCTGAGGCTCACTTCGGGTCTCTGTGGGCACCACGTGAAGGTTGTGCACAAAAATCCATGCAGGCAAATCAAGCAATCGCATAAAAACAGATAAATAAAGAAAAGACTTCTGTTCTAGTTGAGGAATACCAGGAAAGAGAGTGATGAAAAAGGAGAAAGAGACAAGGTCAGATAAAGACAGAGGAAAGGAGCAGGTTGAGAAATGTTAGATTCCTCAGAATTTCTCTTCAGTCCTATACATTCAAAGGTTTTTTTTTTTTAATTGTTGCTAAATTTTTAGGATTCTTATTTTCAACTTTGAAAAATATCTCTCAACCTCTGTTTTTCTACTAAATGAGAAATTTTGTCATTTATTTAGGTGTTTTAAATTTTCAGTTAATTATGTCTCATGGTCCTTAGTTTTGTTGCCTAGAATGTCTAGTTTACGACTCAAAACCATCAACTTGGAAATGCGGAGTGTTACATTAAAAAAAAAAAACAAAAAACCTGAAGGTTGAATTAACATAACTATCAAACAAAACCATCGTGAGTAAAAAAAAAAAAAAAATGGTGTCTTTTTTTTCCCTAAACATTGTCTCATTTTTGAAATTCTATTTCCCACTTTAGCACCTCCCCCCCCCTCTGAGATTTGCAACCCTCCAGTGGGATTTGTTTAGATCTGTCAGTGAGATGTGTGGCCCATGGGAGTGGCTCCCTCAGGCATTCCACAAGTTTCTCCCATACGTACCCTGCATCCGTGCAGGGACATGAGGGGGCTCCAGACATGGGGTGATTCCCCTCTATGTGTCTCCCGGAGGGTCCACACAGGAGAGAAGCCCTACACGCATCAGTGCTGTAGGAAGGCTTCTTCGTCAGCCCGAGCACTTCGCAGGCGCTTCCTCGCTGGGGAGAGGCCTGACCTCGGTGGCATCTGCACTAAAGGCTTCAGTCAGAGATCACATCTCGTCTACCACCAGAGGGTCCACACTGCAGGGAGTCTCTAGGTTTGTCTGCTGTCAGGCAGGCTTCATGCTGCTGGTTGTTAAAAGTCCCCCCAAACCCAGAGGTCCTGGGAGACTTCATAGGGGATATGTGCTTCTGTTTGGGAGATTAGTTGTTCTTTTTTTGGGAGGGGGGTTGGCTTTTCAGGAGCTCACTCTGTAGACTGGCTGGCCTCGAACTTACAGCGACCCACCTGCCTCTGTCTCTTGAGTTCTGGCATTGAAGGTGTGTGTTACCACTGTTTGACTGGGAGATCATTTTTTTACGAATGTCAGAAATCACAGACAAGAGGAAAATTGCTCTATATATGTATGTTCATCGTGCTCAAGAGCTACAAGTTTGCTACCCTTGAGATATGACATGACAGGGAAATCTCAGCACCCATCCAGGTCTATGTAGGGCGGTCTCTAGATGGGCCTTAACCAGAGTGGGTGATTGGCAGAGCTGCTGTTAACTGAAGTGTCACTTCCAAATAGGAAGAGCCCCTCTGTATCTGCTTTGCAGAGCTGCACGGCTCAGCCACTCCTGAAGCAAGTGGAGATGTTATTAGCAAGTGGCACAATGTTATTAGGCTCTATGTGAAGATCGTCCTTGTATTATTCAATTGCTGATGTCAGTGTCCCCATATCTGGTTGCAATTCTTATTCCGAGAGTCTTCTGTCTCAATGCTGTGTAGCCATTGCTGCCATGAACAGCCAATGACTGAGTAGGGAAGATAATGGGGGCTGATCTTCCTGACAGCCAGGGGATACGGAGAAAGTGAGAGGAAGTAGGGCATTCAGCCACAGAGAGAGGTCCGGGAGATAGAACGAGAAAACTGTTGGAGCAGAGATGGTCATGAAATGCAAGTATCTTGGGGATTTTGGCTGGGAGCTAGCCAGAAGTGATTAGAGGATTAGAATAGAGGAATAACTGCTCAGTATTGTGCTGTAAAGCTTGTTAAATAAGTAAATTTAAAAAAGATGAGCACTGGCTGCTTTTCCAGAGAACCCAGGTTTGATTCCCAGCACCAACATGGTAGCTCATAACCATTTGTAATTCCCATTCCAGCGGACCCAGTGCCCTCTTCTGGCCTATGCAAGTGCTGTAAAACGTGCACAGATATACATGCAGGAAAGACATCCATGCCCAGAAAATGAATGCATTAACAACAACAGCAACAAAACTGTGACGGGGAAATGCCAATTCACACACAAAGGTAAATACACCTGAACAACTTCAGTTCCCCGACAGAAGCTGCATGAGCCAGGAGAGCCACTTCAAGGCTTGAAAGCCAATAGCTGCCCACCAAGAATGCTATCTCCAGCAAATCTGCCCTTTAAAATTGAAGGAGAGATGAGGACATTTCAAGGTAAGCACGACTAAGGCAGTTCGAGACCATCAGGCTAGCGCTACAGAAGATACATGAAGGAATACTATCCATATATACATTCCTGACGGGGGAGATACGGTTATCAAGAAGGTGGAGTCCCAGGGTGACTTAGCCATTGCGTTTGGGCTATGCTGATCCTTGTAATTTTTGCAAGTTCTGGAAACTTGGCTGCATTATTGTTGGTAGCTGAGGGCTGTGTTCCTGCTCTCCTCTGTAAATAAAAACTATATTATTATATGCAGAGAAGCACAGGAAAGGCTAAATTTATCAAGGAGGCTAGCTGTGTAAGGAGATAGATTGGAATCCCTGAAACTTAAGAAAAGCAAAAGGACAGACAAGTCAACTAGCCAGAAAAACAACCAACAGAACTACAGGAATCAGGGGCTGGAGAGACGGCTCCACAATTAAGTGCCTGTGCTGCTCTTCCAGAGGACCCAGGTTTGGGTCCCAGCACCCACATAGTAGCCCTCAGTCACCTGCAACTCCAGTTTTCAAGAGATCTGATGCCCTCTTCTGGCCTCTTTGGGTACTGCATGCACACAGTGCACATACATGCATTCAGGCAAAATTTCCATATACATAAAAGAAGTAAATATTAAAAAGGAGAAGTGGGTGGGTTTCACCAAATTAAATCTTCTGTCCTGAAAGATGTTACACAAGGAGGCTGAGAAAGTGAACTTTTTTTTTTTTTTTTTAAGACACGGTCTCAGTACATAGCTCTGGCTGTCCTGAAATTCACTACATAGACCAGGTTGGCCTCGAACTCACAGAACTCTACTTGCCTCTGCTTCCTGAGTGCTGGGATGAGATGAACCACTATGACTGGAAAAGGTGAGCATTTGACTGGAAGAGACTGTTGAATTTTCATCTGACAAATGATTGGGACCTGAAACAGGAAACTGTGAGATCAATGGTAACGGAACAGGGACTGTAGCTCAGTGGGTCAGGTGCTCTCAGCATCCTCGAAGTCCTGTGTTCACTTCCCTCAGCCACATAAACCAGAGATGATGGTTTGTGTCCGTCACCCCAGATATCAGGTGGAGGAAGAAGGATCAGAAGTTCAAGGTTATCTTCAAATACCTGGAGATCGTGTCTCAAAAAAAAAAAAAAAAAAAAAAAATGGACCAACCAAACCAAACCAAAAACCAGTGAAGAAATCAACTATCCAATTATAAAAGTGGGAAGAGATGAAAACTTTCTTGTGAGGATGAGCTGCAGCTGGCCAACAGGCACAGATTCCACTTCTGATAGATTCCACTTCTGGTCGATTTGCACTGAATTCACAAATCTAAATTACTTTTCAGTTGCCACTTGCACAGTGATTGCATGCCCAACAGCAACTTAACAAAGAAAAGTGGCTTGTTCTGGTTCACGATTCTAGAGAGGCAGGGTGGCGGGGTTGATGCTGACAGCCTTTTGTTGACAAGAGTCCTGAAGTGGTACATCATGTGGCATGTGTCAGGGGCCATTTGTGAGTATGTGCTTGTCTGTTCTCTGTGCTTATAAAGCCATCACAGCTCAGTCATGGTGGCTTTACCCTGGAGACCGATCTAATCCTTATCTTTCCCCAAAGACCTCATCTCTAAATACCAAAGTCAGATTATGTTTCTATGCTCTTAACACTTCCCATTTCCACACACTCAGCCATATTCAAGCCAAGTACCATACATGTATCAGGATGGCTCAAATGGAAAACAGTGAGTGAGCGTTCTGAACACTAGCAAGGATGTGAAGAAACTGGACCCCTTATTCGTTGTTGGTAAGTACATGAAATGGTACACTGTTCTGGAAATGAGTTTGTCTGCCTCTTCATCAACTAATCTCACAACCAACATATGAAACCCCAATCACACCTATATTATCTCAGATGCATAAAAATTAAGCTCATTAAAGTTGTACTTGAATACCCAAAGGAGTTTTAGATAAAACCCAACAGTAGCTCAGGTAACCTGCAGTGACTCAAGGTATTAAATGAAGAATGAACTGCATGAATATCAGAGTTCTACTGGCTCAGTCACACTTGCTTTGCTGTGATAAATATCCAAGAAAAAGAATGTAGAGCAGGAATCGGGGTGGGGGGTGTTCTGCTGAAAGTTTCAGAGATTCCAATCCATCACGGCAGAGAGGGTGTGAGAAATCAGAGCATTCCATATCATGACAACCAGATGCCAGAGAAGAAGAGGTGAGAGAGAGGGGAGGTAGTGAGAAGAGGAGAGAGAGAGAGAGAGAGAGAGAGAGAGAGAGAGAGAGCCAGCTCTGTGCTCCTGAGCTCTCTTCTTCCCCAGTTTCTTCTACCCAGATCCCAGCTTCCGGCTAGTACCACTCACTCTGGGCAGAGCTTCATTGTCTCTGAAGACACCTACCCGCATGCACCGAGAGGTGCTTCTCAGTTCAAGCAAGTCAACAGTCAAGACTGAGGAACAAACCATAGCTACGCAGAATATCTGAAGCTTGTTATCACTCAGGTACACTCTCTGAAAGTGACATACTAGGTTAGCCCATTCAAATAACGTTCTTGAAAGGACAACAGTTTAGAAGCAGAGAGTCGATGGCTAGTTGCCAAGGACAGTGGTGCTGGGAAGGAAGGAGGCATGGTTGGACACAAGGGATCCTTGCATTGTTGTCTTGACTGGGGCGGTCAGTACATGACCCTGAAGACAAGACAAAGATGTGTAAAACTAAATGCGCACATACGATGAGTAAATAAATACAATTTGCTGGCTCTCTCAGTATCAGTATTGTGTGTCTGAGGCCTGTGGTGGTTTGAATGACAATGGCCCCCACAGGCTCTTTAGGGAATGCCACTATTTGAAAAGATTAGGACCTTGTTGGAGTGGCCTTGTTGGAGGAAGTGTGTGGGGTAGGGTTTGGGGCTTCAAATGCTCAAGCCAGGCCCAGTGTCTTCTTCCTGCAGGCTGTGGATCCAGGTATAGAACTCTCAGCTATTTTCCAGCATGTCTGCCTGCATGCTGCCATGCTTCCCGCCTTGACGATCATGCACTAAACCTCTGAACTGCAAGTCAGCCCCAATTAAATGCTCTCCTTTATAAGAATTGCCTTGGTCACGGCATCCTGTTGCAGCAGCAGAACATTGACCAAGGCAAGGCTGTACTGTAGTTTCATTTTAATGTCATGGGGAAAACTGGATGAAAGTTTCCTGGGAACTCTCTGTTATCCCCTACAACTGCCTCTGACGTAATTAAAAAAAAATCCCAATAAAAATTTCATCCCAGAACATAAGTGAGAAGGCATTTGTGGTGGACCCAAGTTCATGAGGTCACTGGAGGAACTCAGTTGAGCTACGAATGAAAACAGAGTTTCCAAAATCAAAATAAAATTAGAGTTGTCCTTTCTTTAGCACAACACGCCTCAGGGTGTTGTACCGGGTTTGCACATGCTTGGCCTCATATCATCTTTATCACATTTGTCATTCTGATTATTTCCCTCATTAGAGAGGCTGCCTCAATTTCCTCAGCCGTGAAAGGGTGATAATGGCTGTCTATAGGGTTGATGTGAGGTGCTAAATGGATATTAACACATTATATGCACAAACCAGGTTCTGACAAGTAGCCGGTACTGAATTAGCACTAGGTGCCACCTGGGGAATGCGTCCCTAGTCCCAGGCCATAATTCTGTCTTTATCTGAGTTTTGAGGTATACACAAATGTGCTGTAGGCCAAATTATGCTAAAATAAGAAAAGTATGACGAAAGGCAAAAGACAAGTGCATGAGGGTTAAACTTGGCTTCAAATAAATACAAATTACTATGTTAATCTTACCCATCTATGAGCATGGGGGCTCTTCCCATCTTCTGATGTTGTCTTCCGTTTCTTTTTTTTTTTTTTTTTCAAAGATTTGAAGTTCTTGTCATACAGGTCTTTCACTTGATTAGTTAGAGTTACACCAAGATATTTTATATTTGTGACTATCGTGAAGGATGTTGTTTTCCTCATTTCTTTCTCATCCCATTTATCTTTTGTATATAGGACAGTTACTGATTTTTTTTTGAGTTATTTTATTTTTTGTATCTAGCCACTTTGCTGAAGTGTCTATCAGCTGTAGGAATTCTATGGTAGAATTTTTGGGGTCACTTATGTATAGCGTCATATCAACTGCAAATAATGATACTTTGGCTTCTTTCTTTTCCATTTATATCGCCTTGATCTCCTTTAGTTGTCTTTTTTTTTCTTTTTTCTTTTTTTTTTTGAATTTTATTTTTTCTTATCAGTTACATTTTATTAACTCTGTATCCCAGCCGTGTCCTGATCCCTCATTCCCTCCCAGTCCCTCCCTCCCTCCCTCCTCTCCACCGTGCCCCTTGCCAAGTCCACTGATAGGGGTGACCTCCTCCCCATTCATCTGATCGTGTTTTATCAGGTATCTTCAGGACTGGCTGCAAAGCTCTCCTCTGTGGCCTAACAGGACTGCTCCTCCCTTGGGGGGTGGGGAGGCCAAAGAGCCAGTCATTGAGTTCCTGTTAGAAATAGTCCTTGTTCCTCTCACTATGGGAAACCAATTGGTTACTGAGCTACCACAGGCTACATCTGAGCAGAGGTTCTAGGTGACATTCATACATGGTCCTTGGTTGCATGTCAGTCTCAGAAAAGACTGTGCCCAGATAAATTTGGTCCTTGTGGAGCTTCTATCCTTTCCTCATCAGACTAACTCCCCTTCTTTCTTATGATTCCCTGTACTCTACCAAAGGTTTGGTCATGAGACTTTGCTTTGAAAACACTGCTAGTTAGAGTTTTTCAAATGCGCTCAGTAGACTCCTGTCAATGTTCAATGCGCATCCCCTCTGTCTTTCAAAACGAGGATTGATCATCTTACCCCATGTCCGCTCTCTTGATTATCTTTTTTAGGTGTATAGATTTCATTATGTTTATCATATCTTATAGGTCTATATAAGTGAGTATATACCGAGTTTGTCTTTCTCCTTCTGGGATATTTCACTCAGGATGATCTTTTCTAGATCCCACCATTTGCCTGCAAATTTCATGATTTCCGCCTTTTTGATTGCTGAGGAGTATTCCATTGTATAAAAATACCACAATTTCTGTATCCATTCCTCCATTGATGGACATCTGGGTTGTTTCTAGGTTCTGGCTATTACAAATAAAGCTGCTATAAACATGGTTGAGCAAATATTCCTTTTGTGTACTTCAGCAAACTTTGGGTATATACCTAGCAGTGGTATAGCTGGGTCTTGAGGAA